CGGCCCGGCTCGGCGAAGGCGCAGGAGGGCACGAAGGTCTGGCGGCGGCGCTCGGCGCACGCGGGGTCCGCGCACGGGCAGAAGAGCAGCGCGAGGGTGAGGGCCGGCGGCCCGCGGGCGAAGAAGCGGCGTAGGGCGCGGTGGCAGCGGGCGCGGGAGCAGCCCCCCGATGCGGCCCGGCCCAGGCACCGCGCCACGTACTCCGTGCGCAACCCCTGGCACCGCGCATCCGCCGTGCACGCCTCGGCCGCGGCCACGCAGCGGTTCCCTCCGGCCGAGCTCGCGGACCCTGGGCGGTGGGGAGGAGCCGGCAGGCTGCGGGTCCCGGGGCACCCTGCTGCTCACGTCACCGCCACCCCGTCCACACCCTCCACGGAGGGCCGGACACGCAACCCCGAGGAGGAGGGCAAGTTGTGGCCCACACAGGGCACGGCCGGCCCTCCGTCTCGGGGACGAACGACAGCCTGCTTCCAGGGCTCCTGCGGGACACTGGGACCGGTGGGGTCCCAGACATCCCTAGAGGCTGATACGCCCCAACCTCACCAGAACTACCTCACTCATCCCACCCTCCTGGGCTTTTCCTGGCCGGGAATAGAGCCTTCTGGGCACCTGGCTACAGGACATCTCACAGAAATGGCACTGCCGACAGTGCCCGCCCCTCTTCCTCTTCTCGACGCTCTGGGACCTCTGACCCTCCCTCTCCCTGCCCACACAGACCCTTTTGGTGAGCATGTAGGTTGCTAGTTCTCGCACCTCCCTGACCTTTTGATGTGCCCTCTTTAAGGCCCCTGAGGCGCCCTTCCTCAGCCCCTCCCTGGCCCACCCGTTTTGGAGGCAGATTGGGTAAGCCCCTGACTCCTGCCCTTCAACCCTGAGGACTGTCCTGAGCTACAGTGGCACTCCGCTCAGGGCATGGCTGGCGTGGCTGAGTAACACATCAAGGGCGGGGTGAGCCTGCGTGTGAACTGCCCAGACCAGCCGAAACCAGCGCTCAATCCAGCCAAGCCAGCGTCTGCTATGGTTGGAACTGGGCAAAACCAGGACCCCACGCCCACCCCACCTGTCCTCATCCTTAGGAGGGTACAAGACAAGAAACCTATCTGTCATCCTAGTCTGAGCCAAGGTGCCCAGCCTGGCCCCACACGGGTCCTGCTGTCTGTGTGTTGGGTGGGGTCCTGAGGGTCTCCAGCAGCAGGCTCCCCTTTGGGCAACTTGGGGGACGAGGGTCGGTGCAATTCTTGCCTTTGCTTCCTGCTTTCCGCTCGGTGGGAATGACGGGAGAACGCGGGGAGCTTGCAAAGGGTACTTGATGAGGCCAGAGTAGATGGGCCAGTCCCCTGGGGCCACACCTGCCCATCTCTCCTCCAGCTCCTTGGTCTGCCTGTCTCACCCTTACCTGGTCTCACGACTCAGCCCGACGAGCTCCTCGGCCTTAAACATTGCCGGGTTCCAGTTACCCACCCACAAAGTGACCCTTCTCTCCGCGATGTCCCAGACAGGCCAGGGAGACCAAGCTGGTAGAACAGAAAGTGCAAGGCCGGGAGGGCACTGGGAGGCAGGGAGTGTTGGGCAGGGCAGGAAAACTGGGAGCCTGGGGCAAAGCCGGGAAAGGACTGCCCTGGGGCAGAGATGTTGCACGTGAAAGGGGGTGCCTGCAGCGGGACCCAATGATGGAAAGATGCAGTCTCACGCATGGTATGTGTGTGGGGGGGAGGGTGGGGGGGAGGTGCTGCCAGAGCCCTAGCCTCCCTCATGCAGTCCACAGAAACACTATCCTTGCCCACCATTCTTCCTGAGTGCCTGGGTTTTCCTAGAATCACCCTCTAGCGGCTAGCCCTTCCAGCTGGCCCGTGGAACAGGCCGGAATGAAAAGGGCCGAGGGAGAAGGCGGATGCTCACCAGGTAGCGGCAGCGGCAGCAGCAGCAGCGAGAGTCCTAGGTGGCTGGCCATGCAGGCAGCAAAGAGAGCGACAGCTGCCTCCCTCCCTCTCTGCTCGCTGGACATCTGGGGATGGACAGAGGCAGAGCCCAGTTGGACAGGTGTCGCCTTCCCCGCGCCGCCTACGCTGAAGCAGGGCGTTGTGGAAACCCAGGTGTCTGCTCTAAGAGCCCCGCAGGTGGGAAGAGGCTTTGTAGAGAGAAGGACCACCCCTCGCTGACCTGGCCCGCCCTTCCTCCCGTTTTTTTTTTCCTGAGCTGCCCCTTCGCAGTAGATCCCCGGGCACTGGATCCAGCAGCTGAATGAGCCGAGATGGAACACACACACACACACACACACACACACACACACACACACCACCACCACCACCACCCACACACATACACACACCACCACCACCACCACCACCACCACCACACACACACCACCACCACCACCACCACCACCACCACCACCAGGCACTGGATCCAGCGGCTGAATGAGCCGAGATAGAACACACACACACCACCACCACCATCACCCTTAAGAAGATCTTGCCTTTCCGTGCTAAACTTAACTTTTAGAACAAGGGGCACTGTTCTTTTCCTTTCAACAATAAGTTTAATTTTAACCTTATATTGGGGGCTCATTTTAGAAGGTTTGCAGAAAACTTCCAAAGCTATCAACATCCCTCCCTCCCTTTGTCTGGCTTCCTCTACTGCTCAGTGCTATTGACAGAGGAGGCTAGAGTCAGACTCATAGCGACACCATGTGGTGCAAATGCACCATAAAGGCTTGACTCCTTAGGGCTTTTAAGGCTGTGGTCATTATGGAAGCAGGTGGCCAGGCCTTTCTTTCAAGGCACCACTCGGTGGCTTGGGACTGCTCACCTTTAGTAACTGACAGTAAACTGTGCCACCCAGGGGCCTTAGCTAAGCTGCCCTTTTATTAATCCCAGTTTTCTCACTAATGCCCTTTCCCTGCCCCACAGTCCACCCCAGGACCCAGCATTGCACTTAGGGGCCATGTCACTCAGTCCCTTCCAGTCTGTGGAACATCCTCAGTCTTCCCTCCTCTCTCAGGACCATGAGACTTTTAAAGAACCCTAGTCAGTTATTTTTTTATAAATCATTTTATTGGGGGCTCGTACAACTCTGATCACAATCCAAACATACATACACTGTGTCAAGCACATTTGTACATTTGTTACCATCATCATTCTCAAAGCATTTGCTTTCTACCTGAGCCCTTGGTATCAGCTCCTCATTTGTCCCCTCCTTCCCTCACCCTCCCTCCCTCCCTCATGAACCCTTGATGATTTATAGATTTTTTCCCCATGTCTTACACTGTCCGACGTCTCCCTTCACCCACTTTTCTGTTGTCTGTCCCCCAGGGAGGGGGTTACATTTAGATCATTGTGATTGGTTCCCCTTTTCTCCCCCACCTTCCCCTTCCTCTCCTGGTAGCTCTTCTCTCATTATTGGTCCTGAGGGGTTTATCTGTCCTGGATTCCCTGTGTTTAGAGCTCTTATCTGTACCCATGTACATCCTCTGGGTTAGCCGGATTTGTAAGGTAGAATTGGGATCGTGATAGTGGTGGGGAGGAAGAATTTAAGAACTAGAGCAAAGTTGTGTTTCATCGTTGCTACCCTGCACCCTGACTGGCTCGTCTCCTCCCCTTGGCCCTTCTGTAAGGGGATGTCCAGTTGCCATCATATGGGCTTTGAGTCTCCACTCCACACTCCCTCTCATTCACAATGACTTTTTTTGGTACTTTTATGCCTGATACCTGATCCTATCGACCCCTCGTGATCACTTCATCCATGTAGGCTTTGTTGCTTCTCAGTTAGATGGTTACTTATTTATCTTTAAGCCTTTAAGACCCCAGATGCTATATCTTTTGATAGCTGGGCACCATCAGCTTTCTTCACCACATTTGCTTATGCAC